AGCTCAAACTATTAGTGATTAGCAATGGAAAACGAGATGCACTACATCCTACTAAAAACCAAGCCTTACAACCATTAGGCATCAACTAACAGTGTAAACAGCTTGATAAATTCCCAAGTGCAATAGCAGGAAAAGACGTTTTTTCTTTCTCTAAATTGCACAGTTGGTTAAGCTTAAGACAATATGTCCGCCTCTTTGCATCCGAATTTGAATATTCCGCCACATAAATTAGAATAATTTAGAATACCACTTTGTCAGAAAACATATTAGTATAAAGTTTTATAACAAAATCAAACCACAATCAATCACTCACCTGTAATTAAAACGCCTATGTAACTATGCTCCTTACATAATATATGAATCTTAATCAATTACTTGGAGTCCACATGGCGTTCACATAGTTCTTATAAATAAATAAATAAAACTCCACGTATGTAATTGACTAGATTGGTTGAATTTTTACATAGAATCAATCGTAGGCAATATATTTTAAAATCTATACATCATTCACATGGTTGCTCCATTGCCCATCTTTCTTGGCAGGAACCGAGTTACTGAGTTGACTCACCCTTGTGACATGATCATCATCCTTCAAATTACAGATGTCAGAGGCCATAACAGAGAACCAAACAATGACCGGGGTAGCAAAAAGGATGAGACCAAAGGGCACCATCCACAGTTGCCTATTTGTAGGATGATATTGATATTCCCACCATCCTAACATGAGCCCCCCTGCCACGCTCACCAAAATTGACCAAAAGCAAGCTTTCCTAGTCTTCACAACTCTTTCATGTTCCAAGTAACTTGCATCTTTCTCTTCCTTGTTCGATCCCATCAAACTACAATCAATTAAAAGTAAAAATCTAGTTCCGTCCCTGAATTCTAATTGTTTATAAGAAGAAATAAGAGAAATTGCATCTATAAATTATTGAATCTATAAGTATGATAATGCTCTTTTGCCATCACACGGTCTCATAAGAGAACATTTTCTCTATATCATCTTATATATGTTGGTAGAAAGTCTTACGTTCACAGAGTCTTACAAGAGAACATTTCTCGTACATGTACGAGTTTCATGAGAACAAAACAACAAAGCATATATAAAGAATGAACATACCTTGGTGTTATTGGTGAAGAGGAACAAGAAGCAGATTGGGAGGCGTGGAATTAAATAAGTGAGATGGGTGGTGAAGATATAGAGGTAGAGGAAGGACAAAGACCCTGAGAACAAGAGTGAGATTGTTGGGAGCTAAGAGGGCAAGAGCCCCATGACTCTGGTGGAGTGGGGTGGTGGGGCAGTGAGGGGCTTTGGATTTTGCAAGTCATATACAATACAAGAACAAGCAAGTCTGATGGATTGAGCTAAACATCAGACGTGCCTTTCTCTCAAAGTGGTTACTTGTTAAAGAGAATAAATATATATAAAAAAATGAGAAAATGATTACGTATATATCAAGAGAAACGCAACGCATTTGTGAAGCTATCTGGGGTAGATTTGATATGAACCCTATTATTATATAATATTTGTATAGGTCATTGTCTTTTTTTTCCTTTGACGAGAGGCTTGTTTGGTTCCAGAAACTTCTGAGGGCAATATTGAAATTTTATTTTTACATATTATTTTATTTTTGCTGGGCATAACTGGCGGGGGGAGCCGAGGTTAATTTCGTCCTCAGATTTTATTTGAGGTGCAATTTCCATGTTAGTACAAAAAGTTAAGTGGTTTTTTAGGGGGAAAAAGAAGGTATAATATAGCATTTTTTATGAAATGACTTTAATATTCCATTTATTTACGATAGTATTTACAGTGAGTCTCTATTGAGAGATTTATCAAATAAGCTTATTTTAGGGACAACTCCATTTTGTATTTCACTAATCCAAACCGTCTATTTTGTAGATATTCATTTAAAGATCATTTATACAAAAAATCACTTAAATCCAATATGATTTGACCACTCAATTGAATTATTGAAATTTTAGTACTTTCTTGAAACACCGTGTTCATTGATTTTGTAAGACACAATTAGATGTCGAAACGGTTTTCGATTTGTCTAATTTTTTGCAATGATGATCTATGAATGTATACTTAAAAAATAGATGGTTTGAATCGTTGTAAAAAAAATCGTAGGGGACCCAAAAAAATGTCCCTCAAATAAAATTATTTGATAAATCCCTCAATAGAAAATGACTATATATATAATATATAATATAGCATATACTAGCAGGTAGCATGCCGTGCAGGATGTTGATGGGAATTTTTAGGTCAACAACATGATAGATATAGATTGTGCAAGGTTTCACCTTCAAATTGGAAATTCAAATTGCAGGGTTTTATCTTGGGATGCATTGTAGTTGGGCAGGGCTTTAAGATAGGACCTATTGAGTGGCTCCCAGCTCTTGCCTTCCTGCTTCTGCATCTTGCACTTTACACTTTTGACCCATTTTCCTTCTTTAAAAATGAAAGAAAGTTTTGTTGTTGCAACCCAAAAGCAGAACTCAACCTGTCAGCCATAACTTGGGTTGGTTTTTTCTGCAATGCCAACAATGTATACAATACAACTATACAGTATAAAATATTACAACAACTTTGCTTTCCAAAAATATTCGTTTCGCCTCTTAAGAAAGTCCGTAACGAGATCATAAGTCTTAACTTAAGTGACATAAAGCTCAAGCTTTCTTATAATAAGTCGATAATCATTTAATTTAATGACATTTAATCTCCACTTTGTTAGAAAAAGTCATGAGAATTATGTCTTGGACAAATAATTATGTCTGGTATATCACTTGGACATTTTCAGATCCAACAATACATCTGTTATTTTTCAAGCCCAAATGAGATTTTTGTTAGCTAGGGCTTGGTCTTGTAACTTGAGCTTTAAGCATTGTTTTGTTTCTTAAGGCTGAGCAGAAAGGGTTTGTGTTTTGACCCAAAAAGAAAACCTTGGGTGTGTTTGTTAAAGCCCAACCAACGCATGCCTAGCATAAGAATTGGTATATGTCGACACCAACCGAATGTTTCAATGGCGATGCTCAAAGGTAATATGTCGTGTTGCAGCTACTGTGGTGCAGTTGGCGAAAAATTACTCAACAAAATATTGTCTTGATCAACCAGCCTAACAATAAAAACATTTCACTGTTCACAGTCCCACTCAAAACTTGTGGACACAGTTTGGACGGTTACATGATAAGATGTATTACATGGAGGAGGCATACATTCGATGAAAAGATAGGAAGCTTCCTAGAAAGCAAAGTAGTCCCCTTCAGGGACGGACCCAGGAATTTTATGTCGTAGGGTCATAGTGTAAAAAGCGGCAATGGAGGAGTTGGGGCTTAAAGGCTTGGTGGGGAGAGGGTTAAAGGTTTGGGGGGGGGAGATTGGGGATTTAGGTTTGAGAGTTTAGGAATAGGGGTTTTGGATTGGAGATGCTGAAGTTGGGAGAGTTCTCTTTGAATATGTTCTTTTAAAAATAAAAATAAAAACAAAACAAAAAAGTCCTGGACCAAAACGACGTTGTTTTGGCCAGGTCTTTAAAAAAAAAAAAAGCGCAG